AAGAGACTCTATAGTGATGTGCAAATTTAATATTTGTACTAGCTCCTCTCCACTGAAGTGTCTTTTGTGTATTAAATTTTTATGCTAATATCTCCACTTCTTTTGGACTTGGTGAACTTGGGCAGTGTTGCTCAACATAGTCACGTTTATGTAACTTTTTGGTGAAGGACGAACAAGGTTTAAGGACAAATAGATGCTTGAAGTTGACATGTGGCCCAGTTTTTGCCCCTTTCTGCTTTTGTTTTCGTACGTATCCCCGTCTTCACTGCCAGTCCTTCCCACAGCCCTACCCCTCCACCCTCACCCCGGGCATCCTTGGGCGGGCTGGTGCTGGTGGGGATGACGTGGGTCCCTGTGCCCTCAGCCTGAGCTCTCCCGGATGTGCTTTCGCTCATCAGCGCCCTCTCTCTTCACTAACTGGCCACTTTGCGGCTGTCTTGTTTGTCTCTGTTTTTTACCAAGTGAATGTGGTTAATCTCACTTACATGCACAAGACACTAATGGTGTCGGTAAAACTGTGCCTGTGATTTTGTCTGTCCTTTTATTGATTAACTTTATTTTTTCCTTTATCTCTTTACATAAACAACACATCCATTATATAAATAAGTTATGAAGCATAATAATAAAACGTAACTGGAAGTTACCAGTTTCCTTGCTTTGCACATGTGCTCTCTTCCTGGAGATCCCCTGAGGTTAAGCACCTTTTCATAGTCACAGGGCTTTGAACCTTCCACATGGTTCCTTCTGGTTCGAACCCCGAACCCTTGCTGAAAACTTGCTTTTCTAACAAGTTCCCAGGTGATGCTAATGCTGCTGGTTAGGGACTATTTCTTAGAACCACTAGTAGAGCCCCTACCCCATTGTGTTCGAGTTGATTCCGACTCATAGTGACCCTATAGGACAGAGTAGAACTGCACCCTAGGGCTTCCGAGGAGCGTCTGGTGGATTCAAACTGCCGACCTTTTGGTTAGCGGCTGAGCTCTTAACCACTGCCCCACCAGGGCTGCATTAGTAGAGTAGTGGTTGTCAAATTTTATTACACATAAGAATCACCTGGGGATCTTGTTAAAATGTCGATTCTGATTCAGTATATCTGAGGTGGAAAGGCAGATTCTCAGCAGGGGTCGAACCGGAACAAACCGATTAGAAGCCCTGCATAGTCACCATCCCATTTATCTCCAGTAAATGCCTCTTCATGGCTTCCGCCACTTTGCTTTTGGTATATCTTTTCCTTTTTTATTGTTTCGTGGGAGTTCTTCCTATATTTTGGATACTAATTGTGGCTGTGAGAAGTATTACTGATATCACCTCCCCAATTAAGGCGTGTCCTTGCACTTTTTTTTAAGGTGTTTTTGATGAACAGACTTATTTATTTTTGGTGGCAGTTTACACAACCAAACATACATCCATTCACAGTTGCTACGTGAACAGTTCAGTGACATTGGTTACATACCTCACACTGTGTCACCGTTCTCACTGTCTCTACGCATATGGTTTCCTCACCATTAATGTAGGCTCTCTGCCCCTTCAAGTTCTCATCTGTGCTTTAGGTTACTGTTGTCAGTCTGAACTCATGGAGATCATTCTTTATAAGAGCTCAATGCTCAAGGCAAATATTCTTTATTAATTGAGGGAAAATGTAGTTTAATGATGGCTGCATGGGATAGTTTCTTTTCAAGGTTTGAAGATTATTTCCAGGCAGTAGATTTTGGGGGTTCCCCGCAGTCTCAGTGGATCCAGTAAGTCTGGTTTCCTGTGAAGTTGAAGTTCTGTTCCACGATTTTCCCCCTTTCGATCAGGATCCAGCTGTTGGGTCCTTCATCAAAATGTGAACAGACTTCTCAGTTGTAATGTGGTTGCCTTTAGCTGTCTTACATTTTATGTTTCGCTGTTATCTTAGTTAAGGAATCTTTCCCAGTCCCAAAGTCATGAAGAAATTCTATGTTGTCTGCTGAAAGTTTTAAAGTTTTATGTTTTGCATTAAATCCACAATCCACTTGGAACTGAATTTTCTGTATGGTGTGTGAGATAGGGAACCAAGTTCATTTTTTCCCACCTAGATGACCTCTTATCTCGGCACTGGTTATTGAGCTGTCCTTCCTCTCCTCCCTGACCCGTAGGGCCACATCTGTCACATACCAGGTTTTCTGTGCAGCTCTATTTGTGGGCTCTATTTGACCCAAAATTCTACTTCTGGTAATTTAAGGGATAGTACAGGATCTGTGCTGATATTACAGGAATATTTACAGAGGCATTGCTGATAGTCTAGAGTGAGTGGGAAGCCGTGTTCCAGCCATAGGAATCAGCTGATGATTTTTGGCACATGGGTATAGTGAAATACTCCGCAGCCCAAACAACAGTGGTGGTGCAAGATACATTTAACTAGTTGCCGTGGAGTCATTTCTGGCTCATGGTGACTCTCCATGTGTCAGAGTAGAACTTTGCTACACAGGGTTTTCAATGACTGATTTTTTGGAAGTAGATCACCAGGCTTTTCTTCTGAGGCTCCTCTGGGTGGATTCAAACTTTGAACTTCTTTATTAGCAGCTGAGCGTGTTCACTGTTTGTACCACCTAAAAAAAAAAAAATCCTGTTGCTCTCGAGTCGATTCCGACTCATAGCGACCCTATAGGACAGAATAGAATTGCCCCATAGTGTTTGCAAGGAGCGGTTGGTGGATTTGAACTGCTGATCGTTTGGTTAGCAGCTGAGCTCTTAACCACTGTGCCACTAGGGCTTCTTGTACCAGCCAGGGACTCCTAAAATATGTTTACTAAGATGGAATTATGGTGACAGTGTATTATGACAAAACATAGTAAGTTAAAGGACGGCATGCACAATATGATTCCATGTTTATGGGAGGTTAAAAAGCCCGCTATCTCTGCTTCCTCCCATCCCCATCCCATTCAGTGGCTTTTATCTGGCTTCCCCTCTTGTCACTGGGTCTGCTCTGGAGGGGTCACAAGTGACCTCCCCGTGGCCACCATTCTAGATGCCTCCCAGGCCTCATTTATGCCCTCGCTGCTGCCTTTGACACCAGGTGTGGTCTCTTTGACGCCGCCCCCATCTCCTCTTGGTCTTCTGCCCAGGCCTCATTTATGCCCTCGCTGCTGCCTTTGACACCAGGTGTGGTCTCTTTGACGCCGCCCCCATCTCCTCTTGGTCTTCTGCCCACTTTGTTACTGGGCTGTCTCCCTCTCCTTTTTGAACTCCCTCCTCCTTTCTGCATCCAAATGTTGACGTCCCTGGCACCTCTCTCCCTCTCCACAGACACCTCTTCTGGGGTCTCCCGCACTGAACTCCTTCTTACCCTCCAGACCCACGTATCTGGCCGCGGGGCTGCACCTGACTCCCTGGGTGTCCCCTGGACGCTCAGATCCAGCATGTCCAAGCGAAACCTACAGCTCCCTTGAGGTAGATGCCCAGGAGTCGTCCTGGATTCCTGTCCCCTCTCCGTCTCATCGCCCCCGTCTGCTGGTGTATGCCCTCCCTGAGTACCCCTTATGCCTGTGTCCCTGTCTCCTTCCTCCCAGGTTCATCATCCCGCCTTGCCCTCTGACAGGAGTCTCTGGAGTCTTCTGCCTGCCTCCTAGTTTCACCCCCTTCCCACCTATCCTCCACACTGCAGTTCTGAGCCACCACTCACTGCTTCGGGGTCCCCCGTGTCTGCAGGAGACCATCCAGACCCCTTGGGCAGGCACCGACTGCCCCTGATCTGGGCCCCACATCATGGGCTCTGTCTCCAGCCCAGGAGCGGCCAGTGGGCCTCTGAGGGCCTGGTGGTTCTGGGTCTCTGCTTGCACCCAGCGCCTCTCCTGCTGCTCAGACACCTGCTCAGCTCCTGAGCCTTTCCAGCACCCCACCTCATGGGGGAAACGCTCACCCTCTGCGTCCCAGGCCCCCCTCTTTGTTGCCCTGGGCCTGTTTCTGCCGTAGCACTTCCACGCCTGCATCTGTCCTCTGGACTGCGCTGTGGTCCAGATCCCCGCAGGGCCCAGCGTGGGCCGCACGTGGTAATGCTGAGAAGGAGGGAGGGGGAGCGGGGAAGGCAGCAGGGTCCCACGCCAGCCCCTCTCAGTCAGAGACCTCGGCGGCGGGCACCTGACCAGGCGCCTCAGCCGGTCTGGTCCTCCCCCTCCCGCCAGCTGGAAGCTCTCTGTCCGGGGCACTTCCAGAGCCGTCCTGTGCAGTGACTGGAGCGTCCCTGTGCAGCAGATGCCCCTGTGCGGGCGGCCTGGATCTGCCCTGGAAGGGGACGGCAGCACCCACATCCTGAGTGGGACTCCGCTTCACTGCCTTATTAGCTGTGCTGGATGCCAGACCTCTCTGCAGCCACACTTCTGCATGGTCAGCCCGCTTTGGGAATTTGCTTCCATCTGCCTGGGAGGGGCAGAGCGTCCTCTTTCCCGTGGCCGCTCCATATCTGATCTCGCCCGTCTTCCCTAATAGCATTAAAGGTGTCCTAGACGCAGCCTCTGGCAGGGCAACAAAGAGCTGGCCCTTTTGTTCATGCAAAGACCTCCCGACAGGATCCTAAGGGCCTGGCAGCTGTGGGTGAGTGTGCTTGCGGCCTGGGGTCTTAGCTGTTGGTTTTCTGCTGCATGTGTGCAGCAAGGCGCTGTGCCAGCTGAGCAGGGCTTCCTGTGGGGACATTTCACGGCTGTCAAGTGCGAAACAGTCAAGGGTTTAGAGGTGGTGTTCTTCTGGCCACTTTCAGCTCATTGCTTTTGATGGCATGGTTAAAAATACTCTAAGCATGTATATAGTATCCGTGCACAGCGAACCAGGGAAAGAGGTGCCATTTCTGAGAAAGCTTCAGAGAAGTTCTGGTCTTTATCTCTCCCCAGCCTCTTCCGCTGAAACCCACCAGGCCCTTTTTCTGAGCACTCTTGTTCTATAAATAGAACCCAGCTCTCTCTGCGTAGGCCCGTTGCACGCTCTCATCCGCTTTCTGAAAGATGTGTGTGTGTGTGTGTGCGCGTGCGTGCACACACACGCGGCGGGGTGGGTTGTGTTTTCATTCAGCTTTTCTTTTATGTGTGAGTTGTGTGGCAGGAGACGCAAGAGAAAATAGCTTTTATTTTTCAAAAATAACTTATTATCACTTTTTTGTTCTATGGCTTGTTGGTTTTGTTCTTTTTCTTTTTTTTGATAATTTGCATTTAGGAAAGAGATGAAGTGATGACTTCCCCTGCAGAGGTGAGTGGTCCCTGCAGAGGTGGGGAGAGCTGCCGGGGCGAGGAGAGGTGTCTGAACTGAACGGATCCTTTGAAGTCAAGAAAGAGAGGATCTCGAGACATCTGTCCCCAGCTCCCATGGATTATTAGCGTTTCATGTCTTTGAAGAGCCTTTTGAAATCGGTGTCATCCGTGTGGACTTGGATCTGAGAATGTTAGGGACAAAATCCCAGCAGCCCTTCCATGTTGCAGGCTGGTCTGTGTCTGCAGCCACTAGGATCCGAGGTGGGGCTCTCTGCCGGCCTTGGGTCACCGTGCTCTGTTCTGGCGCAAGTTCTGCACTTTGGGGAGTCAGAGCCTCAGCCAGTTAGCGTGAGGCTCCTGCTTGTCATCACCGGGGAGCGTTCCTCCCTTTTTCCGGGAGAGTGAGTGGGTGACCACCTCAGAAGTGGTTCAGGTGGCCACCACAGAGTACATGAGTAGATTGTTCGGTTGGTTTTTCTCCTTTCCTGACCCTTTAGGGAACTGTTTGTACCACTAGGCCAGCACTGAAAGCCACAAGTTCCATCATAGTTGGCACATGAATGGGCAGTCGCTCACCTTGCCAGTGGTCTGTGGGTACTGCCATGTGAAGCCCACCCTGCCCAGGAAGCTCCCAAGGAGGACATCTTACGGTGGGAATGAGGAGACAGAAGGTTGGCTGGGTTCAAGGACGCCCTGGGGCCTCTGTGCTCAGAGTGCACTGTGCTGCTCACAGTGGTCGGGCATTGTGTGTTGTCGGTGTGTGTGGGTTGTCAGTGAGTGTGTGTTGACACTGTGTGTTGTCAGTGTGTGTGTATGTATGTTGACAGGGTGTGTGTTGGTTTATGTATGTTGATGTGTGTGTCTGTGTGTTGACGGGGTGTGTGTTGTCAGTGTGTATGTATGTGTGTTTTGTTGGAGTGTATGTGTTAATGTGTGTATGTGTTGGTGGTGTGTGTGTGTTGACAGGGTGTGTGTGTTGACGGGGTGTGTGTGTGTGTTGACGGTATATGTCTGTGTTGATGGTGGGTGTGGGTGTGTGTTGATGGGGTATGTCTGTGTGTTGACAGGGTGTGTGTATGTGTTGACTCTGTGTGTGTGTGTGTTGGTGTGCGTGTTGATGGAGTATGTCTGTGTGTTGACAGGGTGTATGTGTTGATGGTGTGTGTGTGTTGACGGTGTGTGTGTGTTGACAGGGTGTTTGTATGTGTTGACAGGGTGTGTGTGTGTTGGTGTGTGTGTGTGTGTGTTGGTGTGTGTGTGTGTGTTGACGGGGTGTGTGTTTGTGTTGACTGTGTTGACGGTGTGTGTGTGTGTGTGTGTGTGTGTGTATGGGGTATGTCTCTGTGTTGATGGGGTATGTGTGTGTGTTCACGGGGTATGTCTGTGTGTTGACGGTGTGTGTGTGTGTGTTGTGAGGAGGCTTTCTCCCGCGTTCTTCGGTAGCATAGTCACCGCGTGTCCTGAATTTGCTCCTCCTCTGTTGTGAACAGGACGATTGAGGGCCAGATGGCCCCGGTGTCCGCACTTGCATTCTAATGCGTTTGGGTGAAATGTGATTTCTGGGTTGGCTTCATGTTAGTTTTATCTTATGTAGTTGTAAGTGGCCACAGATGCCTAAGTATTTGTACAGTTAGTTTTTAAAAAATTACTTAATGTACAAAGCTCTATGGGATTAGGTAATTAAACAGAAGCTTCTCTGGACCAGTGTTCTTGTCCTTGAGCAGGATTGTTTTATAAATTCTACCTACATTTCCATGCTGAGACTCTTGGTACAGTGGACATTTCTGTCAGATGCGGAAACAACAGTGTGCAAACGCCGAGAGCAGATTCTTGTTTTCACAGATGTGGTTTATTAACTCTGACTGTGTTAGTGGCTCCGAATGGTTCAAAACGGCTAGTGATCAAGTGGTTCCTCTGGCGTTTAACTTCCAAGTGGGCTGTGGGTTCACCCGTCCTGTTAGGTGTCTAGCACATGGGACTTGGATGAGGGGAGGCAGCGAGGAGATGCTGGGCCTGCTCCCGTTTTTGCCTTTAATTGAGCCAGTGAGGGGCTTCTGGATTCTCCTAAGACAGCTTCTCCCATGTCTTGGTGGATTCTGGGTCAGATTCATGGATGAAGTGAGTGAGTTTTAGCGAACTTGTCTTTGGTGCTTCTTTCAGTATGTGCAGACACACGTACTGTGTGTGACTGGAGGTGAGGGCCAAGTAACAGTGTGGGCCTGCGCCGGCCAGCCCTCAAGCCGTGTATGCAGATACACATATGATGCCTGACTGGAATAACAGTGTGGGCCTGAGCGGCCACCCCAGAGCCGTGTACACAGATACATGCACGGTGTGTGACTGGAGTAACAGTGAGGGCCTGAGCGGCCACCCCAGAGCCGTGTACACAGATACATGGACAGTGAGTGACTGGAGTAACAGG